AGGGCGCCAGGCAGCACCGCCCTGCTCACCTGTCCCGCCTCAAGGTGAAGGTGAGGGAGCCTCCTGCGAAAGAGGGGTTTAAAAAACAAGCTCTGGGGCTCCCGCTGCCAGGATTTGTAACTTACGGTTTTCTCTGAACGGGACTCGTCGATCCGGCCCCACCGCCTGAACGCAGAGCTCAGCTGGCGATGCCACGAGCTGAGACTTTAGAACTGCGTGTATGGGAGTGTGGTACCTGTTTTCTGCTGGTTTCTGCCACACACACGCACTGTTTGCTGTGGGAGAAGGAATAGAGCTCGTGTGCCTGCTCGGGCCATTGGGGTGCAGAAATGCCTTTAAAAGCGAAATTTCTCCGTGGGTGGACAAAGGACGTTTGTAAGTTTATCAGAGCGGTGCAGCAGAAAGCAGTGGTGTAGAAGGGGTTGTTTAATGTGGTATATGTACCATTTTATTGCTGTGAATGCAGCGTGTGTCTAGAAATATTTTGATTCTCCCTGTTTCTCCTACTGCCTTGCCTTGTTCTAGGTAGTCAAGCCACATACTCCGTTAATTAAGTTCCCGGACAGGAAAAGTAGTCCCAAACCTAAAAGTAAGTTATTTAATCTCCACGTTCAACTTGCACCACCTGTCTTTGTATTAACTGTTTTACGTAAGAACCAGCACACTTTTTTTTTGCTTCAATTACATGACTCGACTGATTTTGAGCAGCTTTTCTGAAACATGGTTGTTCTAGTTCAAAGGTATCTCACTGACTCTTAATTTTCAGTCTCAGTGTAACTGTGGGCATACACATAGTACATGTATGTCTTTATTTCATAGTCAGGGGAGATTCAGTGAGATGTCCGGTGTTGTTTCTTGATGTGAATTTTTCCAAATTATTATTTTTCCAAGTACTAATACTTGGCTGAAATGTGCCCAAGTCAGTTGGAAGCAGCTTTAGGTATTTGGTGATATTTGCAGAAATTATGTTGCATTTTCCTCATCTCTTCTTAGTTGGAGTGTGTGATGTTTGTGGTACTTGTAACCCTGATTATAACTGGGAGAGACATCCTGCTGTGCATTTCAAGAAACATTTCCTTGTGCTACTAATTAATTCTGAGAAAAAAATAATTTCATTGCAATGTTTGACATTGCATTTTATACCAATAGCTATGCTGATATTTCTAGCATTTCCAGTTCTGTAAGTTTAGACATCAAGCTTGTTTTGGTTGGAAAAGACCTTTAAAATCATCAAGTCCAACCTTTAACCTAGCACCCTGCCAAGTCTGTTATTAAACCATGTTTCTAAGCACGACATCTACACTTCTTTTAAACACCTCTAGGGATGGTAACTCCACCACTTTCCTGGGCAGTCTCTTCCAATGCCTGACAACCCTTTCAGTAAAGAATTTTTTCTTAATACCCAATCTAAACCTCCCCTGGCATAACTGGCGGCTGTTTTCACATGTTCAATCACTTATTACCTGGGAGTAGGGATGTAACATCCCCCTCCTTACAGACTCCTTTCAGGTAATTGGAGAGAGTGATAATGTCTCCCCTCAGCCTCCTTTTCTCCCAACTAAACACCCCCGCGTCCCTCAGATGCTTCTCATAAGCCTTGTGTTCCAGACCCTTCAACAGCTTCTCTGTACACACGTCAGCACCTCAGTGTCCTTCTTGTAGAGAGGGGCCCAAGAGTGAACACAGTGCTCGAGGTGCAGCCTCACCAGTGCCAAGCACAGGGGGACAATCACTTCCCTTCTCTCGCTGGCCATGCTATTCCTGACACAAGCCAGGATGCTGTTAAGTGCTATGTTGTTTTAATATGCCTGTTGAGTCATCAAAACATTTGAAAGTAAAGTAACAAATGTCTTAAGAAGCTCTGTTACATTATTCTCACATGTTAAGAAATTATACAGCACCACACTCTTTGCCACAGTGCTACCACATTTGTGATTTAGCTTCATGTCTATTCTTTAACATTACAAAGTATCTACAGTGAACCAGTGCCACTTCTGACTCACCTGTAAACTCTTCAGGAACTATTTTCTGCAATTACATCCTGTCAGAACTCTGTATGTTGTGCACAGTTTAGCCAAATGCACCGCCCCTCATGCCAGTGAACTGCTTTCTCAAGGGCTTGAAAATACATTGTTTATCTCTGCATCAGAAGATTTTTGTCACGGCTTCTGATGGGCTCTCTGTTTCCTCCTTCTGTTTGGGACATTCCATTTTTCTTAAACCACCTGATCAACTTGTGACTTTCAGATGCTGTTTTCTGACTGAGAATTTCTGACTATGCCTCTCAGTGGTGGCTTTTCTTTCTTTTTTCTTTTTTTTTTTTCTTTTTTTAGTCAATGTTGGTTTGATCACATTGCTGCAGGTGTTTGATGTCCTGATCCTGCCATTGGCACAGACTCACTATGGCTAAAACTGGCTTTTCGCCTTTGTCCTTATTGATCTTGTTGGAGGCAGGAGGGAGAGAGAGCAGCTTCCCAGTGAAAAAGCCTGTTAGGATATATGCTGATTTATCTTCTGTTTCCACATCACTGTTTCTGCCACTCAAACATGATTTCTCTTACTGTCAATATTTTTTCACTGGGCTCTTGATGTATTAAACAACAATAACAAAAGGTTATGAGAAGCACATAGAAGTCTTAATGCTTTTAAATATTAGTTATAATGACGAAAATTGTCAGTAACCGGTAACTTGTGTTGGCTGCTCATTAATTAATTTTACAGTCACGTTACATTTGTCTTTTGTGACATGGTTTACATTTTTGTAAATGGTTTGCAATCTGGGCTTCAGTACAGGAATCTCTAGGAGCAAGCGTGACATCTCTCCATGCTTCGAAGGCACAGGAGCCGACAGGAGGCGGCTCACCAGGCTTTCCAAGTATCTCACCTGTTAGTAGAGTACAAGGCACACCAGATACTTCTGAACTAGCAAGAATCTTACCTCAAAAATACAGAAGGAGACTTATGTCAGATGAAGAGATCGAATTTATTCAAGTAAGTTTAAATTAGTGGTGTGTATTTGCTGTGTTTGTATTCATATTGCTTGCTGTGTTTACCTAGCAATTACCTTATTTCTATACCTGCTTCAAAGTTTCACATCTGATAGTGCAATGTAATTCTTGGTAAGGGTGTGCTCCCAGCTTTCAGAGCTTTGATGCACAATACCCAGCTACAAATTCTTAATAGAGAAGGTATCTGGCTTTCACTGATCAGTAGCATGTGGTATTGCTCACTGCAGAGATACAGACTTCAGACAGACATGCAGCCAGAGTCATTGCTTTGGGATAATCACCGCACTACTTGCTTTTGTAACCATTGTTAATGTGTAATTTGAAAGTGCTGGGCAGGAGCACAGGAGTCTGCTCTTAGACCAGTGAAGGCTGTCACCAGGTGATTTAAGTCTGAAGTATTTCTCAAACTGTTTTTTATAAATTATTAGGAAGTTAACTAGTGTATTTCTAGTTGTGGAAACATTAAACATGATATAAATACTTTTTGCCACATGTGCAAATATGGCATTTTACATGAAAGGCAAGAAAGACCTGCTTTTGTTGTGTAACAATTCTCAGTTCTTAAACCGATGCTTGAACAGGGAAAATGCACAGAATTTGCAGAATTTGTGAGATGGATGTGGATTTGAAATGAAAAGACACTTGCATAGCTTTGTTGGATGATACGGGCACCTATGATGTCATCGTGTTGGCAGAGGAAAACAGTTTTCCTGCATGTATGTGGGTATTGCAATTAGAAATAAACTGAGTTATTTCCTGTAGTAATACACTTCTTGACCTCATATATTTTCTAATGTTGAGGGTAAGTTGAAAAGGACTTGTTGGGAAAATAAATAATTGAATACCTTTCTGATTTCCCATAAAGACTGTAATGGCTCCCCTTGGCCTAGTTTTTACTTTGGAAATCAGTCAGTGAAAATAATTCTAGAACTTGTGCTCCCTGCTGCTCTGTTTGTCAGTCCTTTATAAAAGGAGCAGGAGTTGGGTTCCTTCAGCGTGGGCGAAGTGCAAACAGCCACCCTTGTAGCTTGTGTGTGTTGGATCTTGGTGTGTTCTCCCCTGAACAAGATGGAGCCACCACTGGCAGATGCTGGTGTTGGACACCCCTGTGCGTGTTCTTATGTAAGAGTAAAAAAACGTTTAAATCAGAAGTTGAAACTAGAACTCTTGTCTGTGACAGCGCAAACAACTGAATCTCCATTTCCCATGGTTTTAGGGGAAAATATTTAACTGTCTGGTTTCCTTTTTACAGCGTGGAGGTCCCGAGTAAGCATGGACACTATTTTGCTGGCCACTGTTGAGCGATGGAGTGTTGTATTCGCAATAAAGGCATTTCCTTAACGTTATAAGCGACTGTACGTTCGTATCTTTAATAAGGGTGAGAAAGTTGGCCCAACACACTGTGTATTAGTCAGCAAGAGGGATTTCCTTTTGGCGGCTAACGAGCAATTGCGTCCCTTTTTCTAATTAGCCAAGCTGCCGGGATTGCGGAGTTGCTCCGCTTCCCTCCTTCGCGGTTCCAGCCGGGGGGTTGGTTACGGCTGGTGCTGGGGGCAGCGGTGAGCGCAGGGACCGGGGGGGCCGGGCCCGGGGTGAGCAGGGCCCGAGGGGAGGCACGGCCGGGTCCGGGGTGAGCAGGGCCCGGGGCAGGCAGGGCCTGGGGAGGCAGGGCCGGGCCCACCAGGGCCGCCCTCCCGGCCCGTTCCCAGGGTCAATCCCTTCCCCCCCC